CCCGACCTCGACGACATGAAGCTCATCATCCTGGCCAACCGCCTCTGCCTGCCGCACCTCGTGGCCCTCACCGGTGGGTCGCCGCGGGGACACGCTGGGGACATGGGGACGCCTCCAGGATGGGGATGCTGTTGGGGGAAAAGCATCCAGAAGTGGTCAAAAGGGTTGTCCTTAACCCCAAGGCCTGCTTGCCCTTGGCCAGAGCTTGGTGCTCCCATGGCCACTGGCCTTGTGATATGTCCTGTGTCCTCGGAACCGTGGTGGGAGCCCCAAAACAGGCCCACAGCGCCCTAACCCGTGTGTGCGTGTGCCCACAGAGCAGTACACGGTCACGGGGCTGATGGAGGCGGCGCAGATGATGGTGGACATCGATGGGGACGTGCTGGTGTTCCTGGAGCTGGCTCAGGTAGGGATGGGGGGTGGACATGGGGTTCACAGTGCCGCGTCGCATCGTGCTGGCCCTCACGGGCTCTGTCCCCGCAGTTCCACTGCGCCTACCAGCTTGCTGACTGGTGCCTCCACCACATCTGCACCAACTACAACAACGTGTGCCGCAAGTTCCCCCGGGACATGAAGGCCATGTCGGGAGGTGAGCACCGCATCCCCACGCGGGTCGGGCCTGGGTACTGTCACCAGGGCCGCCCTCACGTGTCCTTCCCCTGCAGAGAACCAGGAGTACTTCGAGAAGCACCGCTGGCCGCCCGTCTGGTACCTGAAGGAGGAGGACCACTACCAGCGGGCGCGCAAGGAGCGCGAGAAGGAAGACTACCTCCACCTCAAGCGGCAGCCCAAGCGGCGCTGGCTCTTCTGGAACGCGTCTGCTGCGCCAGGGCCCTCGGCACCCGCCGCCTCCTCCTCCTCCTCCTCGTCCTCATCCTCCCGGGATGGCATGGCCGTGGGCGGCTCTGCGCCGAGCCAGGCCCGGCGGGACGCAGCCGCCCTCATGTCTCTTGGCTTGGGCTGGTCAAGCACCAAGGCAGGAGGTGCAGGGTTTGGCCCGTTTCGTCCCTGGGCCCACGGGACTCACTTGCAAGCGAGCGGCCGCCTTGTCCCTGCCGGCTGGACTGGAGCCGTGTTGCAAGGTGGCAGCTACCGCTGTGCCAGGGGCTGGAGGCGCCGCAGCCCCTTGG